GTCGCCGCGGCCTTCACTGCGGGCTGCCGCCGCCGTCTGCGCGGAGCCCCGCCAGGGGGCGCTGTGCCGGGCACTTGCGCTCCCCCTCTTTATTTTCTCGTTTTATTTGTTTTCTCCTCTGCGAGGTGGACGCAGACATTTGCGGCGTGAGTGTTGTGCTGCTGAAGGGCAGTTGTGCGTCCCGAGTGCGCCTTGTTTGCATCGTCGCCTGTTTTCTCCTCTTCAATTCTTCCGCCTCTCTCTTTTTGCCCCCACGCACACGAACACGCCGAAGGAAAAGAGAGGCCAAACGCCGCTTGCTGCCGCTACTGTGCGCCTTGAGGGCTCTGCAGCTGCCACAACCGCCAGCAACACACACACGCACACAAACACAACCATCGCGGCCTGAGAGGACCCACCGCAAGGAGGGAAGTAAGAGGGAGAGGCCCAACATGCCGCGGCGTCTGTTTTCCTCTGCGGTGCCGCTGCTGCTTGGTTGCGTGTTGCTGGCCTGCGGCAGCAGTGGCGTTGTGGAGCAGCAGCGTCCTTCCAAGATAAGGCTTTTCTGGGGACTGGTGGCCAAAGTTCCCGTTGTCGAAGACCTCGCGGGGAAGCAAACGCTTGAAGCGTTCCCAGCACCTGCCCATGCTCGAGAGGCGTAGTGTGCTTGTGGCCTTCGCCGAGGCGCGGCCCGAGAGCGGCGGCGGTGCGTCCTTCACCGCGCGCTGCACAACGGGGTGGTTTGCGTGCGCAGGTGGGTGGATGGCGCCCTCGCGGTCGCTGTTGGCACTGCCGTCTGTGGGCGTGGAGAGCAGAGACGCAGCGAGTGGGCGACTTCGGCGTGGCCTCCTCTCTTCCGGTGCCACAGGGGGCCCGGTGGGCTGCGCGACTCTTGAGGGCGGGGCGCATGCCACTGCCGGAGCAGCCCCTCTGCTGCCGGGCCGTATGTGGTCGGTGGCCGCCGCCCCGGACATCCGGAGCGGCAACGAGACCCGCGCCGCAACGCCACGGCGGCGTGTCTGCCCCCCGAGTGCGCGGGATGGGCAGCGTGCGCCGTGCGACTCCCTCGGCGTCTGCGGAGCGCACGCCCGGCAACTGACACGCTTCCGCCGGAGCAAAAATATTTTCCGCACGGACGCAGAGAGACCGGGAGTGTTGTGGAGTGCCGCCCCTGCGTCCTGCCCGAGGAGGCATCTGCGTCGCGTGGCGCGCCCCGCAAACATATCTTCACGGCCGGTGGCCCCACGCTGCCCCGCGAAGGGCCCCTACCTTCTCTTCTGCGCGGCAGAAACCCGCCCGGGTCACTTCAGCTGCGCCCAACCGCGGCGCCCTATCAAACGAAGCTGCGGTGGGGGCAAAAGGGGGCGCAGAGGGGCCCATGCCGAAGATTCCTCGGCGAGAGGGCCGGTGTGTCCGCCACGCCCCGTCCCGTCACAGAGCGCGCTGTGGGCGGGTTTTGCGAAAAGGGCAGGCCCAAGCACAAAGCCACGGCGTGGCTCCGCGACGGCCTGCGTGTGTGCGTGTG